CATACACAAACAAAACCAAATTAAACCATGCGGCTCGTGACGATACATTGATGTGCAAAGACACGAAACGATCGGTCTGTGCAAACCATTGACACTCCTAATTGAGATTGTAGATAGAGTGTCAATGGTCCATTTGAGAGATAGGTGGCGGTAATGCACTTAGAAGTCTGCGATTTTTTGGTCCATGCACAGTGGTTTTGTTTGTGTATGTTTTTTTTTACTCTCTAAAGCCGTGATTCCCATTCACCTCCATTATAAGACTGACAGACTGCAACGGTTTGTGTTAAAAATCTTCGTTTGTGTTCTACTGAAGAAACAAAGTCACCTACATCTTGGATGTCCTGGGGGTAAGCAGATAAACAAGAGTAACTGTTGCCATCCGCAAACACATAGAAACAATCTGCATTGGGAAAAACAGGAAGTAAAAGAAGAAATTAATTGTAGAAGAGGCTTATAGAGACTGGAGCGTATGTGTGTAGCAGCCGAGGGGCCAAGAGTGTTGGCAGGCCGGCTAAGCTTCATATTACACCCAGGATTACACTCTGACTCTTTGATTTTCTATAAGCTCACAAAACGTAGCTACCACAGACCCATTTACATAGTAGACCCGCTCTGCAAAGAATCCAGGTCTCTATCAGTTCAGGAGTTTAAATCCTAGAGATTGAGAAAAAGTTGTGTAAAGCAAAAGCCTTATGAGTGGCCCTTAAATCAGCATGGAAAGAAACAAAGACTGCATTTACTTCTGTATTTGTAATACAAACATCTAGACAACATGAGGCACGCATTGCCATCCTTCACAAAATGAGAACAAGCAAGCAAAATCTGCAGAAACTGACACAATCTCCACTTTAAAACCTCTGTGAACTTTCACCTCTGACTATTTCAGGAAGACTGCAGTACTCAACAAAGGTACAGCAAGACAGAAACTATGCTAGATAACAACAGGAGATGAGAGATATCACTTTGTTTAAAAGACGTTTCTTTTCTCAGATAGTTACCGAAATCAGGTGAAGCTGGTGCTTTTTTGTTAAATGCTTTCTTCTTTCAGTTTTTCTTCTGCTTTGTTTTTTTTCTCTTTTCATTCTTACGGTAGAAGCACCTATATGTTTGTGGCCTCTATCACAGAAGTGGGACCAAGAGTTTCTCAGAAAATCAAGTATTTTCCGGCAAACATGAGTGCTTTGTGGTTTTAATCAGTCATTTTGTGTTTATTTCATAAAGAAAGCTGTCTGTAAATATGTGTTTGTGTTGTACACTTTTGCTTTCATTGGGCCCCGGCTGCTTCTGCATCTCAAAATGAAGAAAAAGCGTTTGAAGACTGCAGTGAGCAGACATTAGTCACCACTCTTGTCTTGAGTTGTTTTTCCCTCCTCTATCTCTTTGTTGATTGTAACTAGGGCATCTATACTGCCATGTAAAGCCGTGATTCCCATTCACCTCCATTATAAGACTGACAGACTGCAACGGTTTGTGTTAAAAATCTTCGTTTGTGTTCTACTGAAGAAACAAAGTCACCTACATCTTGGATGTCCTGGGGGTAAGCAGATAAACATCAAATTTTCATTTTTGGGTGAACTATCCCTTTAACTTTGAGTGGTTTCTCAAATTTTGAGCAAATTTGATGTGATTTTTTTTCTGAAGAGGAATATGGAGGTGTGTTTTTGACAAGTTGAGTTAAGTCTAAAACTGAACAAGTTTATTTAAAAATCAGTCTCAGAAATGTCCGTTTGAGAGCACAGCTTTGACAGTGTTGTCAGTGGACCCTTGATAAGTCCCTATATATAGATCCTTACATGTATGTCCTTATCATCACCCCCTCTGGAGTGCATGAAGACAGAATCAGCCTGCTTCTGATGGCCATGTTTGGTCAGCAGAAAGGAGATATAATGCCCATTTGTTATCACACCACGGAGGGAAAATGTACCTTAATTGCCTCAAACGTAGACAAGGGCTTTGTCACAGGACTGGAATTTGCCAGTATGAAGTGGTGAGATTAGGAGCACTTCTTTTTGTACTCTCCAGTGACATGAGGAAGAGAGAGAGAGCGCTGGGAGTTCATCCAGGCAAATCCTACCTTTCCCCCAAAGCCATGGCTTTCCGACCACATGCACATGACATCATTTGGAGCGTGTGAGATAAGGATGAGGGGGGAAAACTCATTTACATGCTGTTTTAAAAGGTTATCTCCTCTTAGGTCCTGAAATCAGGTGAAGCTGGTGCTTTTTTGTTAAATGCTTTCTTCTTTCAGTTTTTCTTCTGCTTTGTTTTTTTTCTCTTTTCATTCTTACGGTAGAAGCACCTATATGTTTGTGGCCTCTATCACAGAAGTGGGACCAAGAGTTTCTCAGAAAATCAAGTATTTTCCGGCAAACATGAGTGCTTTGTGGTTTTAATCAGTCATTTTGTGTTTATTTCATAAAGAAAGCTGTCTGTAAATATGTGTTTGTGTTGTACACTTTTGCTTTCATTGGGCCCCGGCTGCTTCTGCATCTCAAAATGAAGAAAAAGCGTTTGAAGACTGCAGTGAGCAGACATTAGTCACCACTCTTGTCTTGAGTTGTTTTTCCCTCCTCTATCTCTTTGTTGATTGTAACTAGGGCATCTATACTGCCATGTTACTGAGTGGCTCACAATTAAAATATTTTTTCTTCCCTCGTGCTGCTGTCTTTCAAATAAGGATGAGGGGGGAAAACTCATTTACATGCTGTTTTAAAAGGTTATCTCCTCTTAGGTCCTGGCATAATGTGTGCAGTTTAAGTCCAATCATTCTCCTGACACTGATAGTCTATTAAACGCATACAGAGCCGCCCACTGGCATGCTAGACTTCTCGTCCTGTCTTCTGTTACCACCTGCTACTACTGTTGCCACAGCTATTACTTTTCCTGTGTGTAGTACAACCGGCATCTCTTCTAATACCAACAGAATGATCTTAAAGTGATGGTTCACTCAAATTGAAAACTGTTCACCCCCAAATTGGGATCTAGTCACCTTCATGTTGTTCAAAACCTCTGTTTTTTCTTTGTCCATCGAACATAAAATAAATCTTCTAAATAACTTTGTTTACGTTCCACGGAAAAAGAAAAATCATACAGGTTTGGAACAACAAGAGTGGATAATTTTGGGTGAACTGAAATGGTATCGTGGCTTCATATCATACTAGCCTTTTTACGCTAATAATAATGCTAAAGATAAACCGATAACACTCAGAGACAGAGAGGGGAATTTCTGTCAGAAAATGAAGGGAGTTTCCCAACTGTTTGAGAAAAAGGTACAGATGGAATATGTCCAATTACCCAAAGCAGGAGTGTATTTGATTGCTGCCCTTGGAAATTATTCAGGAACAGAGATTAAAGAGCCGGTCCTGACTTTAAAGCTGTGTAAAATCACATGACCTGACAAAACCCCTTTAAGCAGTTATGACCTATGCAAAAAAACAGTCACTGGATGCCAAATTTATGACTGAAGCCTTGCGCTGCCAAACTGAAGTTCTGGAGATGCATACAGTAACACTAAATATCCATCAGTAAGTAATAATAGCTCATTATTTTTTATAGTTAGTGTTTTATTTGTGGCTGATTCAGCAGTGATTAAATTGAGGCTAATTAACAATAAATGAGCATACTTTGTCAAAATGTAGTCAAAATAGCTGGCACTTTCACAAAAACAGTGTCTAATGACTTTTTAAAGCATTAGAGGCACAAATCTCATCTTTCAGTGCATTTTCTGGTCATTTTATATGTATATTAAAATATATAAAATTCACTCATTTACAATATAAATAAATATGTTTTATTAATATGAATATATATATATTTATATTTTATTTTTTTATAATAATTTTTATTTTTTATTCCTAATCGAATACATTTTATTGAATTCTGTGTGGAGAGCCACAACAAGCACTACATGTCGTACTGCGTATGGTTGTGTATGTGACCAATAAAACTTTAAAAGCAATACATATATACCTTTCACACCTAGAGTCCTTTTCAGTTCCTTTTTTTCAGTCCCTATTTGGTGAGCATGACAGTAATACTCCATGGCAGCACTGAATTGAGAAATCAAGTAGATGTGGAGACCTGGACTGTCACGAAGCCCTAATCTTTGAGCATGAGATGAAATGATGTGCTCAAACACAGTAGAAGCTGTTAAAATGATGCATGGCAAAGCATAGGTAGTTTCCTCTCAAATACCTGATACATTTTGCTTAAATTTTTCATTTCCTTTCGATCTCCCAGATCACCTTTCATACTGATGTAGCACGGCTAGGACTAGCCCCAATGCAGCAATGGAAATTTGGGGATTATTTTACATGCTGAGAAGGAGATCTGTACAGCACAGGCGAGAGACCGATTTAGCAATAACATAGAAATATGAGACCAAAGCTGAAATATTTTAGTATTAATTACCATGGCCATGGCTTATGTTACCTCTAACTGTCTTATTTGCCCAGCAATGAAAATGGCAATCAGATAAATGGAAAAAGGTCTGGTGGAGGGCAGGGTCCTGGCAGGGTGGAGAGGGAATTTATCTGACACCTCAGTGAAGTTGAAGGAGCCATGCTCTTGTAGCAGGGTAGCTCTCTTGACAGACAAACTGAGACAAGATGAGATTTTTTGCATTCATCTGCTGTGGTAAACGCTATATCAGAGCCAAGAACTAAGTGCACTGGTGCCAGAGGGGTTTGTGTCCCTTTCTCACTCACATGCATGCACAAACAGACCCTGAAAGAGCAGTAATCTGGCCTTTATAAGGGCTGGTTAAGCAGCAGGGGAAGCTTTCAACCCAAATTGTCTCCTTTTGCCTGTCTGTCCGACCTCCCTCCAGACCTATATGAAAGTTAATGGTCCTGAAGTAATTTCACTATACTGCGATTAAACTACACCTTTACCTCTTTACCTCTCTATTTTATTTTATTTTATTTTATTTTTGTTAGTTAAAAGGAACTATAAGTGCTCTTTTTTGTATTTCGTATAGGAGAGGCCTCCGCACTACGTGATTACGCTGCCAACACCATGAATGAGTTCTTACACATGTTCGGCTATGATGACCAGCAGGCTCGGGATGAGCTGGCCAAGAAGATCAGCTTTGAAAAACTAAAAGCAGCTACCTCAGATCCCTCCTCACTGAGCAGTGAGGAGGCCACCCGTCGAGCTCGCTTCTCCAAGTATGAGGAGTACATCCGCAAGCTGAAGGCCGGGGAGACCCTGCCCTGGCCTATGCACACCAAGCCCGAAGAGCTCAACTCCAAAATGGAGAAGAGCACTGCCCTCATCCAGCCGGTCCTCACAGGGTCAGAGGGTCAGATATTTCCACCCAAAATGGACCACAAACAAAGCTCACATAACCCACCCCCAACCAACCCGTCACACATCCAGAACCTGGCGTCCCGTGCGTCCAAGTACGATTACTTCATCCAGAAGCTAAAGATGGGCGAGAGTCTCAGACAGCAGAATGGCAATTCCTACAAGCGGCCCTCCAAGTACGACTTGGAGAATGTCAAGTTCCTGCACCTCTTTAAACCTGGAGAGGGCAACCCTGACATGGGCGGCGCCATCGCTTTTAAGACCGGCAAGGTTGGCAGGCCGGCAAAGTATGATATTCGAAATATCCAGAAGCTCATCCCCAAGAAGGTTGATCCTCCGATGATGCCAAGCATTCTACCAGCTACGGCAGGAACCCCAGTCATAAATACGGCTGCTCCCGCTGTGGTCGTGGGACCTCCCGGGTTGCCTGTAGACCAGGCGGGCCACCTTGGCTTTAACACTGACTACATGAAGTCCAGCTTCTCCAAGACTGACTCCATCACTACTGGAACCGTCTCAAACATCTCGGCAGTTGATGCGCGGGGAGGCAGTAGATAAGCCCAGATACAGTTTCAATTTCCGTGTTGGGAAAAAAAGAAAAGAAAGAAAAAAGAAAAATGAGGACTCATAAAAAGGGCAAATGCAGCCTGGTGTATTGGGGGGTTGTTGAAGGATCGGGGGGCAGGGGGGAGGGGAATCATCCACGCTAATGAGAGAACAGTCGTGCTAAAAAGCAGCTTTGTAAACTTGTCTACACCCACCTTCCCCCCACAAAAGGGGAAAAAGTTCTTTATCTCCTCGCACTGCCGCGGTTTGATGTTTAAAGAGCTTCCCTGGTAGTGTTTAGTCACTGTTTTCCCTCCTAAATGCTTTCATGTACCCACCATTGCGCCAAACTTTGATCGGCATGTCTCTATTGTAACGGGAGATGTGCGGCAATCTCTGTATCGTGGCGATATTAATGGCGATATTAATATTTAATCTGCCGCTGAATAGCAGCGTGGCTCATTAGCCCCCTGACGCGGCAAGTGGGAATTGTCCAGAGGCAAAGTTATACAGCCGGGGTGGGCTGCCATCCCAGGGGGCTTCTGTGTACACAGGACCGGGAATGTTTGAGTGCAGCGCAGAGAGGCTGCTAATGGTGGGTGAGTTTAACACGTGCATCTGTGCCGCCTGTGCTGTAATCCCTTTTATAAAGGAATAGTTCACCCAAAAATTAAAATACTGGCCCCAAAATACATGCCCCCACATTTTAAAGACTGCACTGGTCATTTTCCCCATGCAGTTACTATGAATGTGGACTGAGGCTGTTAAGTTTATAATAATAAATACATTCATACAAAGGTCCATATGACTACTTTTTTTTTTTTTTGGAGTTTTGGATCCAAACATTTGTGTTGCATGTGAAACAGACCAAAATTTCAGTGTCAGTCATTATTTCTCCTTTCAGCGGGCTGTTGAATGTTATGATACTTTTATGGAGCTTGAACTCTCCAGTACTCATTGACTGTAATTGCATTGAAAAAAACACCAATGCATTCTTCAAAAATTTTCTTTTTGTGTTCCATGAAAGCAAAAATATCAAAGAGGTTTGCAAAGGACATGTAGGTGAGTAAACAATAATTTTTGAGTGAACTGATCTTTTAAGAAGCAAGCGAAACCACCTTAAGCGCTTGACACCTCCCCAGTCCTTCAGAACACCACCCACGTTTAGCAGGTAGTGGATTCGCCATTCAATTAGCTTAATGAACTCAGCAAAGTGATTTGTAAAAGCAGTCTAGGGATAATCCAGGCAGTAGGGGAAAAAAAATTACTTAGCTTTTTCTCTACTTCAGCAGATGGTGCTCTTGGCAGCGGCGGTGCGAATGTTTATTTGTGTGTTTTGAGCTGTAATTGGAGGTTTTTAACAGTCATCATCGTCAGGGTTATAATCAGCCTGTAAACACTCAGGAAATGTGCCTCTTTAAAGCACCGCCAATCCGCGGAAGACCGGGTGAGTCAGTCGGCAAGAGTGAAGAGGAGGAAGCCACACGGAGACACACTCAAACCTTTCTATTAGGCCTAACCTTTCCCTGATTAAAGCATAGGCTGTTAACCTGGAGAGCCGAACGCTGATTTGGCAGGGCTTAAAGCACGAGCAAATGAGTGAATTATGTCAGGGGTTACAGTTTAATAAGAATCTACCTACTGCCTTTGAAGGCAATGGAACTAATTTGGTGGAGATTGCTGTGGCTGGAGAGTGAATTGCAATCGTATGGTCGAGGAAGCGTAGGCCTGTTTTCTCTGTGTTTATAGTTCCTTGTAATGACTCTGAGCTCCGTGAAGATGACTCTGTCAATGTTAGGGCATCTATCAAGCGGAGATAAAAGGCTAAATTGCCCTTTCAAGATCAGCCCCCACATTGTTAAAGGTTTCGTATGTGGAATAGAAATACCGAAATGCTACTCCGTTTCAGTAAAAGCTGATTTTTTTTTCTCTTCGAAATTGATCGCTTTATCTCACTTGCTGTTTCTGAAATCGTGTTTATCTTTGTGCTCAATATGATAATAATGTTTGCATTCAGAATGCTCAGCCAAAACACTTAACAATGACACAAATATGATATTTCTGTCTGATTGTAGGTTCTCTGGGAGCCAACACTGTGGCCATGTGCACTGTGCTTACCAGTACAGGGAGCATTATCACTGCATGGACCCCGAATGTAACTATCAGGTGAGAACGACAGCCACAAGCAGGGTTCAAAACGAATGCTCACCATGTGCTAAATGCAAGTAAAGTCACCAGTGCCCACCATTAGCAAGCGTTGCAAAAAACTCATTTTGGATTTTTTTTTTTTTGTATTGATTGATTGGGAATTGCACAAAGCAGATTTAAATTTATTTAGAAGTAAAAAAAAAAAAAAAGGATAAGGATTAGGTTCAACGCACCTAAACATTCATCCCTCACTGCTTAACATCCAAGCTTCTGTAAGGACAGCTGCATAATGCCAAAGGTGTCACAACACCAGTTTAAAGCTCAACTTCACTCTTTCCCCATCACTTCCTGACAGGAGAGAAAGATAACTGTTAGAAGAAATGATTGAAGTGTGCCAGGGTACACACAAGGAAACAGCCAAACAAAACCTTACGGACAAGGCTTTTATCTTGGCACCGTACTGGCTTAACAGGTTTAGATAGATGAGGGCTATTTCTCAAAACTCAATCAGACAGACAATGGCCTTCCTTTTTTTCATGGTTAATGGTAAATACTTTCAAAAGATGCCTCCTTTTTTTTCCTAAGGACATCTGCTAATACTCTTGGGCCACTCATAATCCCCTTTCACATTATTAATCTGATCCATGTCCCCAGAGTTGTCATGTTCAGCACAGCAAAATCAGCATTAAGCAGATCAGAACACAGACAGCAGCGGCTCACGTGCATATGGTGGAAAAGAGCAGTCAAAGACGAGCGCATTTGTCGAAGACATCAAAAATCCTCTCGCAACGAGAGCCGCTCAGTCTTTTCTTTATCAAGTCCTCTCTAGTCATAATCTCCTACTTCATTTTTAATCATCTGATTACATTTTTCATTATAAACATCCAGGAATCCTGCTGAAGACAACAGGGCAGCTGTTGCATCTAAAAGAGACTTATTCAGCCCAGCAGGCTGCCTCTTGTTATTCAAGAACAATTCCTCAAACTGTAAGAAGAGTCGGCTGAAAAGAAATGAATAATGATAGCACAAATAAAAAATAACGACAGGCCTAAATAAATTGCTTTTTAGTTTTTCAGGTAGGTGTACAGCCCAGCAGGCTGCCTCTTGTTATTCAAGAACAATTCCTCAAACTGTAAGAAGAGTCGGCTGAAAAGTCCCTTTGAAGCTGTCCATTTTTGGGACTGGCGTTGCTTAAGAATTCATTGACACCATTGTACATGCACATCATTTTCTCGATATTCTAGATCAGTACGCAGAGCGTCACACCACGTGAAAGTGAAACCTGAGCGGTGAACTAATTTTCTGCAGCAGAAATTTCGAAATTCCGGTGCATCTATAATTATTGGAGACATCAGAAATGGATATTATATAATAGATGCTTTTTTTTAAATTTTAGCAATTTAAAAATATAAAAAAATTATTTTTTACACGGCACCCCTGCTCTCGACAGACGGCACCCCGGTTGGGAAACACTGTTCTAGATAAGCCTTTGTTCTTATAATTTCACTTTTTTTAATCCATTACAAACTTAGGCCATAATGTTTGTGCAAATCGACTATTGGAGATATGATTTTAATAACCCAAAATTCTGATTAATACAGGCGTAAGCATTCCTGTAGCTTAAACAGTAGAGCATGGTACTAGCAACACCAAGGTGATGGGTTCGATTCCCAAGGAGCTCATGAACTGATAATATTGCTTTGTATAAGTGTCTGTCAAATGCATGAATAATATTTAAAAAATGATGTTTTTCATATTTATATAAACCCGTAACTTTGGCGTAATCTAAAGTTGTGGCAATCCGGTTACTGCATTTACATGTCATGTACACAATTAAAATATGACCAAATTCTGATTAATATGGCAATATTTCTATGCATGTAAAGGCGTCAGTGACACTTGGCAGTTTAGTAATGACAGACAGGAGGCTGTGCGCACCCTAGCAGAAAGGTGAGGCTCAGATTAGCTTGTTTTTGGAATTGATAAGTCATTAAAATGTTACATGACACAGTGCTGGAATATTATCCTGCGGTTGCCAGCCTTTGCTCCACTCTATACCAGCCCTGCCTCTCCTTTCATGGCCTTCCTGCAATGCGTTGGGAATCCTAAAATAAATGCCCGCACGACTGTGTGACCACTCCGCTAAGTACAGAATCCCAACTGATACGATTTCCTGCTGTTTTCCACAGTTCCGCTCAGTGTGGCCGGATCTAGATCGGTATCTCTTTTTATTTGTTTGTCGACATCCCAAATACCTGTTTGTTGGACATCGGCTCATATATCATAGAAATACAGTTCTCTTCTTTTGAAACGGGATTGGAAATGTAACACTATATATAGCCAAGATTTAAGTATTTATCTTTGTGTATTTATATGTCTTTTATTTATTTTTTATTTGCCTGTAAGATAAGCTTCATCGATGGGCAATGAGGTTTTGTGGATGTTTCTGTCGTATTTTTTTTCTCCTGTTGCTCATTTATGTAGAAATTATGGATTTACGTTGGAAGAGGCTCATTGATTTCAGCTACTCTTGTTTCAGTTCCTGTAATATTAGCTCAAGCCCAATTACTGCAGATTTGGTTGCCCTGATCTCTCAAGAGTGAGGTTTTTTCCCCCACGTTGCTTTGTTTTTTTTCTCCCAGACTGCTCCGTGGTGTAGGAGATTTTAATTTCAAGGAGGGGTATTTTAGCATATTTCTTCATTATTATTGTCTAACCCTGCACAAAACTGTGCTTTAATACTTTAATTAAAAATGGAATCATATCTCAGACGGGAATTAAAAGAGAAACATTTTTTGGTTGCCTTGTTTGTTTGTTTGTTGTCTTTTCCCCCGTGCACGTTCCAAAACCATCTGCATGGAACATGATTTTTCAGAAGCAGAGAATATCGCAACTGTGATCTCGCATGTCAAGTGATCCATCTTAATTAGAAATGGGGAAATAAATGTAATAAACAGTCTAGCCTGGAAAATACTATAATATCATATCTGAGTCATAATGTGGCAAACTCCAAATGAAATACACCCTTCAAAATACTCACTTTTAAGTGCTCTACCCTGCAGTGTGAGTAGAGAACAGTGAATACACCTTCTACCTGCTGCTACGACCGCTTGTGTCATGCACCGTTCACCCACCTGGCTGCAATTTGCTGCAGTGCTCTGCAGCGGTTGCATGAGTAATAAAATAACTCATTGCTGGTTTCCTTCAGAACCAACACACCACCTCCCCCACCTTACTAACTCTGTGTTTCTGTTGTTCACAGAGATTCACCAGTAAGCAGGATGTGATAAGGCATTATAACATGCATAAGAAGCGGGACAACTCCCTGCAGCATGGATTCATGCGCTTCAGCCCTTTGGATGACTGCAGTGTGTATTACCATGGCTGCCATCTCAACGGCAAGAGTACCCACTACCACTGCATGCAGGTAAACCACAGCAAAAACCCCTAGTTTGCCAAAAAAAAGAAAAAAATGCACATTCACCCTTATACAGACACATGCAAATATAACTTCTCCTACTTGTACAGGATTTGAGATAAAATATTAAATTACATTTTTATGAATATTATAAAATAAAAGCTGTGACAAATAAATTAAAATCTGCTTTCCATGCACAATAATAGTGGCAGGCGAATAGCACAGACTTTTGTATGATGCAATCTTTAAGGACACTGAAGTTCTTTAACTTTTTCCTTAAGGCCTATATGACCATTTAAGAGCAGTTTTTTTATTTTTTATTCATGAGACAGAAGTTGTCAGAATAAATGAAATAAAAATTTAAATGAAAAGGGTGTGCCCCTTCTCTCTCATCGCCCCCTTTCTCCCTCACTCCTTAACTGTCATGGATAAAATTCTGTGAATTGTATATATGAACTTAACATTTTTCATCTTTTAGTACCAAGTGGTGAGTTAAAGATTATTTCCCACCAGATCTGTTTAATTCTTTACATCTGCTTATTTTCAAGGTGTCACTTTCGAGCCAAGTGCTTTTTCACCGCAGGCAACAGTGGCCCGGGACTTAAGATATATTCTCTGTCTCTTTTTTTTTTCAAAGCCTCCCTAACGGCGTAATTGTTATTAGACATTTCAGCTCTTGTTTTAACAGCAGTGAGAACAGGCAGATGTTGGCACCCGTTCTCCTGATTTACGGAGAAAAAAACAGAGTGGCATTTTTTTCATCGTTTGACTGAATATGGCCAAGTTGCCCTGTTTACATGGGTGAAAAGTGCCAGAGATGATATACAATTGCTGGTTTTAATTCAAACATTAGTTCACGTTCGTCTGCTGCCCAGAGAGCTCCTGAGTGCTGCTGTTGAGTAACAGAGCCTTTCAAACCGAACTAAGTGACAGTCTCCCCGAACAACCCCCCTGACTCTACTAAAGCAGAGACCTCTAATATCGACTTAAAACCTTAAATGGAAGGTTTCAGCCACACACCACCTCACCATGCTGCTTTTGCATGCCACATATTGCAAATCTCAAAAAAAATCTCCTGTCTTTTATCTCTTTGAAGCTGTTTTCATGAAACGCACACCTGTTTTTTCGGGTAAAGGGTTCGCTTTTCATATTTTATGAGTTGTTGTCTCAAGAGTACATTTTTAACAAAGCTCAGATCTTGAGAAAATGTTTCCTGTTCTTTTTTAGGTCACCTGTTTCTTTGCTCCCCACATTGAGTTCATCACCAAACTGAGCTATTTTTGTGTCACATCTCGAGTTGTTGTTTTCATGTCCCTGCAGACTACAAGAGCTCAAGCACCAAGCCACTGTTTCATACTGAGCATTTTTCATCCAGTGCAACAAACTGAAACTCACACATGGTGTTTACTTCCAAACCGTGCACACGCTTTGTCTTATGAAAGCCCTTTTTTCATTTCCTGTCTTGTCAGGTGGGCTGCAACAAGGTGTACACAAGCACCTCTGATGTCATGACTCATGAGAACTTCCATAAGAAAAATGCACAGCTGATCAACGATGGCTTCCAGAGGTTCCGCGCCACTGAGGATTGTGGGACGGTCGAGTGCCAGTTCTATGGGCAGAAGACCACCCACTTCCACTGCAGGTACAATGGATGCTTAAACTCAACTTAATTTGCATTAACTGGCATTTTAAAGTTTAATCATTCGCCTTTCCACCTCTCAGGCGCTCAGGCTGTACATTCACCTTCAAGAACAAGTGTGACATAGAGAAGCACAAGAGCTATCACATCAAAGATGACGCGTACGCCAAGGACGGCTTCAAGAAGTTTTACAAATACGAGGAGTGCAAGTATGAAGGCTGTGTCTACAGCAAAGCCACCAACCATTTCCATTGCATACGCCAAGGCTGCGGCTTCACCTTTACCTCCACCAGCCAGATGACCTCACATAAGCGCAAACACGAGCGCCGCCACATTCGCTCCTCAGGCGTGCTGGGCCTCAATTCCTCCTTCCTGTTGCCCAAAGAGGAGCAGGATGAGTCCAGCAATGATGACCTCATGGACTACTCAGCCATTAGCAGCAAGAACTCCAGCTTAAGTGCTTCTCCAACGACCCAGCAGTCCTCCACTGTACCACACATGCTGCCCACTCCCACCACCACCACCATGTCCTCCAGCCACAGCGTCAAGCCCACCGCCGCTCTGCCTTCAGCCAGCCGCATTTCCACCCTGCTGTCCCAGGCTCTGCCCAGCAACATGCCCATGGCCCTAGCACTTTCCAGCAGTGCGCTGGCAGGTGCTTCCAACCCCTTCTTCCCCCTCATTCCCAGAATGCCCATGTCGCTCACGCCGTCTACCGCCGGTCTGATCTCTGCGGCTACCTCCGGAGGTCACTCCATGCCCAGCGATTCTCTACCCCAGACCTCCACCCCGACTGGGGACCCAGCCGCTGCTACTGTAGCTTCCACTCCGACTTCTTTTGCTGCATCATCCATTATGGAGAAGATGTCGGCCAGCAAGGGTCTGATATCGCCCATGATGGCCCGACTGGCAGCCGCTGCCCTGAAGCCCTCCAGTAACCCGGATGCAGGTTTGTTTATTGATTTGTAAGATCCATATTGTTTACATTTACATTTACATTTTAGTCATTTAGCAGACGCTTTTATCCAAAGTGACTTACAAATAAGGACAATAGAAGCAATCAAAACCAACAAAAGAGCAGCAACAATATGTAAGCGCAAATGACAAGTCTAGGTTAGCCTAACGTGGCAAGTTTTTTTTTTTTTGCTATGTATATATATATATATATATATATATACATATACACACACACACACACACACACACACAAAGAAAAACAAGTAGATATAATAGAAAAAATAGAATGGCTATTGTTAGTTTTTGTTTTAAATAAAAAAAGATAAATAAATAAAGTAGAATTAAAATAGCATAGAAAGTGCTAGAGTTAGAGGTCTAAATAAAGATGGAACAGATGTGTTTTTAGTCGTTTCTATTTCTGTTTAGATCAGTGATTCTCAACTGGTGGGTTGCACGCAGTAATTTTAACCTTTATTAACGGAATTATTAATTTAAATATTAGTCATTAGTATTAAACATTGAAATAATTACATTTGATAATGATTCAAATATTAATATTTGTTTAAATTCTGATCAATATCGATAAACCGATAATTATTTTCATAATATGGCTGATTTTACAATTATATCTGATATTATGACCAATAAGTGGCAGATATTAATATTGTATTTTATTTTATTTTTAAATAAATGACTAAAAACTAAAATCAATCATATTAAATACTACATAGGTTGTATAAAGTAATTGTAATATTTATATGATACAATTTCAATGTAATCATTAATGTTACCAATAAGCCAATATTTATTTTCATATTATGGCTGATAGATGGCAAAGATAGTATTAAAATGATGCTGTTTTGTCTAAATAAATTAAAATTAAAGCACTTAAAACTAAAATCACTTTTAAATTCTACTAAGTAAATTTGGGCTTTACAACAGTATAATGTATGTTGTGAAAAATGGATATTCATTTTGAGACTAATACTGATGGATTTTTAAAAAATCTCTGATATCGGCCGATAACCGATATGGTAATGAATATATTGTGCATCCCTAATATTAATCCGTTTCAACATTTGATTTAAGGACATTTTTATTTACTTCTGGTAATGTAGAAATCTTCAGCAAAGTCTTTAATCAAAACCAGTTAAGAACCACTGGTCTACATATTCCCAAAGTTAATATCTAGAACAAGAGTGGGGGAAAAAAAGATACTTTGTCAATGGATCAGTTTTCCTTACTGCGTTTAATCATGAGAACATCAATTCTTTGGGTCACTCTGCCCATGTGTTTCTCTTTTCTCTACCTACCCGGCAGTGAAAGGGCACTTTCAGGTCATCTGCTCATGCTATCCACAGATGCTACACAAATCTCTGATTTCAGGATTAGGGCAAAATATTAAAGGGCTGGTTTGCTGCTCTAGTCTTGTTATTGCAACGATCATTGTCATGATACCCACAATCCATTAGCAGATAAGTGCTGAACTAGTGAGTGGGCTCTGTAAAGCTGCCTCTAATAGCATTCTCAGGAGGATCCCAGGGTCTGTGTTCTACATGCTTCCTCATCACCGGCCTCTTATCTGAGTGTGCACTCGTTCCAACCAAATGGAGCCTGAATAATATTAAGTTGAGAAATTGGAGGTACAAAGCAGCTTTTTATATGCACTCTGATATAGAGGAAGAAATATCAGAAACTGTTGAAGCAGAAATGACTCAGCGCTCCAAAGAGGGGGATGTGTGTATGTGTTGATGTGTATATAAAAGCACTACTTGTTTCAGTATGAAAACACTGATGTGGTGTGTGTCATTTCTTCACCCTTTTTTTGCGTTTTAGGCAAGTAAATGGGTTTTCTACAAAAAAAAAAATGTACTGTGAGGTACTGTAATTTAATATATGCCACGGTACTGAATGATTACCATTAATAATGTTTACTGTACATGGTACTGCAAGGTACTACAAGTACAAAAAAAAAAACATGGTATGTTAATTCTACCTATTTGTAGAAGATCCTTAAAGGATTTTTGGCTGCTATAAGGCTGTCATAGCCTTAACTCCTTGTCTCTTTGCAGGATCAGATATTCTTATAAAAGTCCTACTACCCTAAAAGAAAGCAAATAAAATGAGCATGTTCTCTCATTTGTGAGCACCTTGCATTTAGTTTTGGTAACTTCGAGAAAAGTAGAGAAAGAAAATCCCCTACTAGACAGAATTGAGAGTGCAGATCATAATGTGGCATTGCTAATTTTACACGTTTGCTCAGAAAAGACGTGTGAACAGGACATTTGGGTAAAATTTGCAGAGGATGTGGTCAGAGCTCAGCGTTAGAAAAGAGAGAATGATGTTTACTGCGGCTATTTTCAAACAGCTTTGTTTTTTCAAACTTTTTTTTTTAGTCAAGGGCCAGTTTGCAAAGAAAACACATCTCAGTCTTACTGTGTAAAAAGAGTAGCTTGCTAATTTGTTCAGGTGGCGTTATTTCCTAGTTGAATTCTCTGTTCTTTTTTTCTTTTTTTTTGTAGCCATGCTCACCCCCAGAGTGTTTCGGAGGATCTTGAAATCTGAGGGGTTCGCTAATTAGACACCCAGTACAAATGATCTTTCATGAGTTCAGTAACTTCGTTGAGGTAATTACACAGTACAACATTATTCTTGGATAATTTCCAGAAAAACACAGCATCGTGAGCATGTGCGTTTTTTCCTCCTCGCTCTCTTAGATCATCACCGATTTTTGTCATAGAAACTGCAAAGCTGAAGGTTTAATGACTCTCTCCTCACATGGTCGTTATTTAAACGTCCCTTGTTAACGTCAGGCAGTTTATATCCAGAAAAAAAAGAGAGAGAAGAAAGTGAGAGCTTTGTAGAAGGCCGATGTAGGGCAGAGTCATTTATGGACAGGCGGGGAGGTTAATATCAGTACAACGTACGCCTCACACATAAAGACTGCAGATTTGGATGGATACGAACTAGGCTAGTTTTAGGCAAAAAGGCATGCAGTAATTAGTCAACTGAACGATACACACTCAGCAGAAGACTGAAAATAGGGCTGGAATGAGCTACCGACTTTTTTAGGATGTGATGCGCCTAAAGCAGACACATCACAATGAGTCATTAGTTCACCTCCATAACCACATAGAGTCAAAAAACACACGTCAGGAAGGTTGGAATGATGCTATCTGATAAACTTGTGTTTGTACGTGGGTGTTTGTTTTTGTGACCCAGAGAACTGGCTGTCTTCTCTTTTCACATGGTTAAATGCCCTCGGAACTGAAGGCCAAGGGCAGGGTGGATGCTAGCTGTCATTTTTCCTCTGCGGGCCTGGTTTCTTAAACTACATCCACCCCGACTTTGCAATCACTGCTGATGCACTCGATGCTCCATCTTTGTGCCTTGAACTCCTAGCCGTTTTTTAATAAAATACCACTTAGTGGCTACCAAAAGCCCGGCTTTCTCTGTGCCTGAGGACAAATTAATATTTCAATCATTTGGGGATTGGAAGAAAAGCCAGGTCGCATTCCCGTCAGTGTCCCTCCTGCCTCCTTCCTCCTCTCCACGTCGTCTGCATACCTATTTTGAAAATCTGATCGAGAGGTCACGCTATTTGAACCGATCTGATTGACTGTCACCTCTAATCTGACGGACAAGCAGATGTTCCTTTTGGGCATGCTCAGTGGCATCCGTCGCCGGGCCAACAAGGACATGCGGCGACGGCAGGGAGGGGCAGGCAGTCTAAATCTGCCACTTTCCCTCAGCATTAGCATGCCTCTTAATGACCAGTTAAGAGGCAGGGCCGCAAATGAGTTGTGACAAGCGCTGCTGAAAACAGAGTCTTTTTCCCTCATTCCTGCTGCCTCTCAATCAACATTTAAATGCCTTGACAGCCTGACATAATTCCGCAATAATTATCACTCCTGGTCTTCTCCTTGGCCGGGACAGAAGTCAGATTGGATCTCATCACAGCGGAATAATGCTGACCAACAATAACTTAGCTTTTCTCTTTCTCTCTCCTCAGGGATGTGGCAGCCGGCTCAGGCAGGCCGGTTTAATCTGGTCGAGGTGAAGCAGGAGCCAGCCGACGGTGCCTCCGTGGCTTCCCAAGAGACTGTCCAGGAGCACAGCCTGGACCTGAGCAAGAAAGACCACAGGTATCCCATCATCCACCCCCTCTCGGCTCACGCCCAGACCCGCCCCGCCCCACAGTGATTTATCTCTCGAATAATGCCGTATTGTGTTAATTAGTGTGAGTGCTCTTGTTAAAACCCCCTTCACAAGGTGGGACTGTGGAGTGATCAAGGAGGATTAGATTTACACACTCCCTCCTTCTCCCAGCACCGAGGCCTCCTTTGAGGAAATCCATCATACGAATGCGAAAATTCTCCCATAATGCCCTCTTTTCATAATGCACATCAAGTATGAGGCATGACATGTTTGCACGTTCATTTAGATGAAAGTGTGTTTGCATAAACCCTAATTTCCAGCCTCCTTCCCTTTTTCTCTTCATTGTATATTCACAATCTCGGATATATTATAATATTTACTGTTCTCATGCAAATCCTGCCTAAACACTGTTCATTTTGCGTGTTCTAGCTCTGAATCAAACGGACACCCTGCACTGGGAAATACATCTCTTTTATCCTCACTTATGAATAAGGTAAGATTCATCCATCAAATGCGTTTCATCCCAAGACAAATTAGCAGGATGCAGAGGGGGCTGTTTGTTTTTTAATGTTTCACCGCTAATAGGATGAGTTTGTATCATTTAAATTTTCCAGCCATTTTTCATACAGTGTAATTTCAGCCCGCCGCTCGCAAATTAATATAATGAAGCAGGAGCCGGTTGCCACGGCAGATATATAGAGATGTTTGTTTTTTGATGAGCTGTTTTGAACTCTCCATGCTTTTTTTCCACAAGCTTTCTTCTTTTTCTCCTCCATCTGCTCTATCTTTATTTATGGACTTTGTAAATTATCTGATTAAAAAGTCAGCGCTGAGAAAAAAGAGCAACTGTCACCCTCATTTTTTAAAAAGACGAAATGGTGCCGAACAGATATTTAAATGTTGTGTGTTTTTGTGGGGATTAAAATGGACATTGTTTTAATCATACATCTTCTATGACTAATACAAATGGTGTGCATGTACCATTACCTTGATGATTTAAATAGAAAACTCGCTCTAGTTCTCCTGACGGCTTAGCTCAGCTCTCTCTCTCTTCCTATCTCTCTCTCTGCTTCATATACAAAACTGAACGGAAACACGTTTGAAGCCTCAAACATAAAGCGCGCAAAAACTCTTGTGTGTTTGGTCTGTCCTCGAGAAGAACTAGTCTTTTTGCAGACTGTGTGCTGAAACTTGCCTAAGCATGTGTTTGTGTGTGTAGATGAATCCTGGTTTCTTCAGTGCTTTGGATCTGAAGTCAGAGCTGGAGGGAGCTCAGGCGGCAAACGGCTCAGACGCAGCTCAGTATCTCAGTAGGGTAATGAAGAGGTCAGACCCAGAGAAACACACTGAGCAGTGGAGGATCTACCTGCGCAGGTGCCTGAAATCATCTCGTGTCCCTGTAGAGTCATTTCCAGCTGTAGCTTTACTTTTCAAAGTCTTGTGTACATTACTTTTTTTTAAAGCATTGATCTGAGACTTGTTTAATTTTCTTTCATAGTAGTTGGGAGTTAAAGTTCTTATTGCTTTTTATTTTTTTTATTAAAAATGTTATGCGTATTTTCTTTTCTTTTAGTTTTTACAATCTTTACCATTTTACCTAACTCCATTACACCCTCAATTACACTGGGTAGTTGACGTTAAATTGCAGATGGTGTAAACAGCATTTTTCTATATTTTAATTATTTCTATACATCCAGTTTGTGTTGGAGCTGAACTCTGCAGGACTGCGGCTCTCTAGGACCGAACTTGCCTACCCCTGAACTAAGAGTATTTAATAGACTACATGGAATGTTTTTACATAAAGCAATTTAAAATAATAATAAATTAAATTCTCAGACTGCAGGACTGAAGTGAAAACGTAAAAAAGCAATGGTGAACAGTTGCACACCTAAAATATACACTATCCCTATACTGCATATACATTGAAACCTTAAATCATGGAGATGTTATTTATGTCAGCCGCTATCACCAGTATGCCCAAATAGATCTTCCATTACAGAGAACACAGCCATGCATTGGCTCCACATCCTCAGTGTTTTGTTTTGTTGAAGTTGGTGTCTGGTTTTTGTCACCATCCGTCTTTATGATATACCCTTTTGCTTGTCAGTGCCATCCACAGTGTTTGTTCCCCGGTTGTTATGTGGAAAGAGAAGATTTATCCGGAGCATGTGATGTTATGTACAGTATTTAGTTACAAAGCCCTTGCAAAATGTCCTAGCCAGAGACCTACTGCTTTTGGCTCAGGCATAGTTCACCTAAAAAAAAAAGCACCTTACTGAATGTTAGATCCTGATGAGTTAAACTGAGACTACGAGAGTAACTGACCTGAATTTACGAGCAATTCGACCCTTTACATCGTTTTAAAGTTTCCCTCTTTCTCACATGTTTGTGCAGGTTTGACACTGACGATTTCTGTGAAGGCCAGTGTGATTTCTTGCACAAGATACATTTTCATTGCCTGGTGGAGGATTGTGGGGCGCTTTTCAGCACAGTGGATGGAGCCATCAAACACGCCAAGTGAGGAGTGCTCCAGTTCTGGAGCATTACAATCAAACATAATGAAGATAAATCAAAGTTTTTAAATGTTAGAGTTCACACCAACACACAGGTGTACATACACACACGTACACACAATTTACATGATTATGATCTAGTAATGTTAATTTGCTACTATGTTTGGCAGCTCTATTAAAGCGCATCTAATGGGCGAATCACCTCTCTGTCATTAGCTTCCACTTCAGAGCCAACCTGAAGGTTAAATCAGAGCCCCCTTTCAATGAGAACAAGGAATCCAATGATAGCGCCCTTAATCAAATGGCTGCCCCCATTTCCATGGCCAAGACGCCTCCCATGGAGGTGCCCAGCCTGGCTGTGTCAGGGGGCTACAGCTCTTCTCTCCAAGCCTGGAAGCAGCTGGCCGGATCGATCCCCCAACTTCCCGCCTCCATGCCCAGTATGCCAGCCACTTCCCCTCTGGCCACCACCTCGCTGGAAAACGCCAAGCCTCAGGTCAAGCCTGGCTTCCTGCAGTTTCAGGAGAAGTGAGTAGACGTTGTCATTCTTGTAAATTCATGATACCGTGGTGGTATAATTTGAATAGTCTGAGCTGCCTGTATTTCCATGTCTTCTGTGCAGTTTTAAATATCTGACAGAAGTTTCGTCATGCTTATCTCCCACAGTGATCCTTGTCTGGCCACAGACTGCAAATACTCGAATAAGTTCCATTTCCACTGTCTGTTTGGAAATTGCAAATATGTGTGTAAGACATCTGGGAAGGCTGAATCACATTGCCTGGACCACATTAACCCCAACAACCACCTGGTGAATGTGCGAGACCAGTTCTCCTACTATTCTCTGCAGTGTCTTTGTCCTAACCAGGTGAGCTCAATTTTTAGGGGTAATATTGTATCAAACATGCATTAATGTGTCTTTATTAGTGGCATATACTGTACACTTCCAGTCAAAGGTTTGAAGTTGGCAAGAGATTTTAATCTTTTTGAAAGATATCTTCCAAGGGCGCATTTATTTGATTAAAAAAACAGTAATATTGTAAAATATTTTTACAGTTTAAAATAACTGTTTTCTGTTTTCTGCATTAGAAAATGTAATTTATTCCTGAAAAAGCGAAATTTTCAGCATCATTACTCCAGTCTTCACTCAGTGTCACATGATCCTTCAGAAATCATTCTAAAATGCAAATTTGGTGCTCAAGAAAGATTTATTATTGTTATCAATGTTGAAAACAGCTGTGCTGCTTAATATTGATGCTTAATATTAAACCGGGATGCAATTTCAGGATTCTTTGATGAACAGAAAGAACAGCATTTATTTAAAATAGAAATATTTTGTGTACGTTATAAATGTCTTTACTGTAACTTTTGATCATTTTAATGCATCCTTGCTGAATAAAAGTTTTTTTTTTTTTTTTTTTTAATTGCTGGCCTCAAACTTGTGAACATCATATGATATATGATGATTGTTTTTTTTTACCAATAATGTACAATTTTCTTATTTAAAGAAGATTAAAATGTTGAATTATAAAATGATCTAAATAATTTAAAATAGTAAAACTAGAAATCACTTGCATTTATTTTGAAGGATGGTACAACCACATAGCAACCAACCAGAACACTCCAGCAGTGCATAGCAATAAGCTAAAACCACTTACTGTATATACCACATAGCAACACCCTGGCAACTACCAACAACACACCCTAGCACCATGGCAACGACCTTTGCAAAGACCAACTCTTTTCTTTTCAGAAAATGTATAAATTACATTTAAAACACTGAAGACAACAGCCTAGGTACATATTTATTTCTCCACAACAAGCAAACAAACTAAAAAAACGAAAACCACCTTGGAGACCCCATAGCTGTATAAAATAAACAAGTTTTGCTTTTCATCAAAAATTCCATCATTAATAGAAAAAAAGCCCTCCCCTTCCTGCAACTTACATTTGGAGCAAAACCTGTTTAAATGAATTCATTTATGCATCCCATCCCCACATCTCGGAGCTCCCCCCTCCTCTCCAGAGTAGAGTGGGTTCTGTTTATGTGCTCCTGGGGGAACTGCCTCTCTGGAAACAGATGGTGTTGCAGAAACAGGTTACATTGCGGAGGACACACACATGCACACATACGCAGACTAATGAATTGATAAAAGAGCTGTTTTAGAAATAGATGAATCGCCAAATGAACTAATTGGTGTGTTGTTATTGGGGTCAATGGCTACAACGTGAAGCTAAACTTCAGATTTCCGCTGGTCAGTGAGGCTGGTCCTGTCACATGCTCTGGGAAAGAAAGAGGAAAAGGATTTAATGAGCACACATAACCTACTTTTTCCCTTTGGTACCCTGAGTAATGAGTAACTAACTGACAAATGATCAGACCCCATTTTTGTTCAAAAGGTGGTTGGTTTAGTAATTATTGTAAATTAATGTAATATGTATTAATTGGATTGTGAATTAACTGTAGAAAACTGAAACATGAAGACATAATAGACTGTTGTGCAAGATGTTCTCGGTCTGAGTTTTGTTTGCTGTTCTCTGCAGCACTGTGAGTTTCGCATGAGGGGTCATTATCATTGTCTGAGACCCGGCTGTTTCTTTGTCACCAACATCACCACCAAACTGCCCTGGCACGTCAAGAAGCACGAGAAAGCTGAAAGACGTGCCGCTAATGGCTTCAAATACTTCACCAAAAGAGAAGCATGTTGCAGACCAGGTAAGAATCATATTTTCATGTATTAAAAGAAACATTTAGATCACAGAATATTGGTTCACCCAAAAATTCGGTCATAATTTAGTCACCCTCATGTCATGAAAAATCTGTATGCTGTTTTGAAAGAATCCTTACACAGCTCTTCAAAAAAAAAAAAAAAAAAAGGTAGTAAGCCGGTTAAAATCTTGAAAAACTTCTGTGTTCCATTTTTTTGTGTTCAAACGGTTTGGAAGAAAATTATGCTATTTTCATTTTTGGGGTGAACTGTTCCTTTAATCCTTTTCAACCCTTTGGAAATCTGAATCGCTTGATTTGGTGTGGTTTGCGAAGTAATTTAGTGAATTCAGCCTCATGAAATTGTACAAACCTTACACGTCCCAGCCTCCCACACTCTTCATTGTTTCAATCACTGTTCGCATTAGTTACTCGTGTTTCCAAACATTCGCTGTTCATCCGCGCTCCCACGTTATTCTCAAGCAGTGAGTGCAAGCTCAATGTTTGTAATGCAGCTGGAAGGATCAGAGATGGTGTGAAATCAGAGATGATGTAAATGTAATTTCATATTGATGCCATCACCTGCTATGAAAAGACTTTTTCCACTGGCTCTGGCTACAGGAAAAGTGCCGTTCCTCTAGTTGAGTCAATAATTGCCATACTGTTCACAGCGCTACATACAGAGCATGAAACGGCTGCACTTCACACTTATTCACTGAATTTTGAGTATGTTGAGTATTCTCAGAAGCTGTTATCTCATTAGTATCTGTGCATTGATATTTTGTCAATTGAACAGTTTACATTGACAACAGAGTCAGCACGCTGGCAGCCGTTTACATTTTGCAGAACAAACACGTTTGGCGGAATTAAAGATGGTCTTGTCTCATTGTAAAACCAGGGACGTTTTATTTATATTACAGAAAACAGGCCGAGAAAAATGGTGTCTGCCTTTTTGTCATACATTAATACTTCAGTATTTATAGTAGGCAATCAAACAGAGGTTGTTTTCTTGGGTATATTTAACCTGTCAGGAATGAGCAATTACATATGTTTGTTAATTACTGTGCCTGTCGAGCTCAGTCTGTTTGTGTTGCTCTTTTTCAAGCCTCGATCATCATCACAAGCAGGCAGATTAAAAGTTTGTATTTTATTTTCTTTCTACTCCCCTCCCCTTAAAGGGAGAGTTCACCCAAAAATTGTGCACCCTCATTTTGATCCAAATCCATCTCATTTTCTTTGTTCTGTGGAACACGAAGAAATGAGGATTGTGCTGTTGAGCCATAAAAGAACAAAAAACATGATAAAAAGAGGTCTGTATATGTCTTTATGGTCTGTAGGACCAAGTGTTTTATATATTTCAATTCTTTTGAAGCCATATACAAGCTTCAAGTCACTAACTGTATGAAAAATAGCAGCTTACATATTCTGCTAAATAAAAAATAAATAAAAAAACAGGTTATGTAAATGATGACAGAATGTTCATTTTTGGGTGAACTATCCTTTTAAGTCAAGAAAAAAAGAACATTTATTGATGAGTGGAAAGTATCACAAATGTCCACCGAGTATAAGGTCTCTCCTGTTGCATTGTTAGTGGCATAAACCAGGGACATATGACAAAAGCAAGCCGTAGAGTCATAAAGAATTGATGGTTCAGCTGGACTGGGAAAGTAGTATCCATGGCAGCAAAATTAAACAGAACACCGGCGATGAGGTTACCAGGATCTGGTGGCACAAGAGCCCTGATATTTCAGCATGTGCTCATATTTACTCAACTCTGCCTTTTTAAAGTATATCACCCTTGTGTACAAAAGCAATCTGACAACAGGCGGCTTGTTGTGCGGCGCCACAGGTGCCATGGTAACGGACAAGCCCGCACCTGCCCTGAATGCTACTCTTTCAATTATTTCAGCACGCATTATTCACAATAAAATTATTATGAGCACCCTACAATATTTGATTAGTACGCGGAGGCAGTCTTTAAATTTGAAAACATATAGCAATTAAAATCTGTAGGGCCCTTTGTGTAGAAAAAAAAATAATTCAAAAAAAGGCAAAGGGACAGGCGTGAGGGGGTGGAAATACACCAGCAACAGATAGGTCGTGAAAAATGAATTTAATATGGAAATAATTGTGTGTTTACTTTGGTTTGCAGGGTTGTGCATTATTGCTTCTCCAAATGCAGAATGTATTTATGTAAATTCCAAATTGAATAAGAGATGTCATTGTAATAAAAGAGCACCACAGGTCTAATCTTCAAAAGGTTCGACTTTCCCAGTGTGACACTGGACTCATCTGCTCTGTCTCTCCGCATTATGCAGGCGCGGGACGGAAGCACAATGTCCTCATTACCTTGTTGAGAAAACCAATGATATATGTTGTCCCTGAAACCCAGGCGCGATGAAGACGGTCTTTGCTCAAGTTCATTTTGTCGCTCGTCTCTTGCAGGGTGCAAATACAACCAAGTTAACAGCCACTTCCATTGTATCCGTGAGGGCTGTCAGTTCTCTTTCCTGCTCAAGCACCAGATGACCTCCCATGCCCGCAAACACATGAGGAGGATGCTGGGTAAAAACTTCGACAGAGTTCCTTCCCAGGTACAAAGAAATGTATGGCACCTTTTGAAGGTCACTGCCATAAGCACGTATAATATATAGCTATTTTTTACTTTTAAAATTATATGTATTTTCAAGCCTGCCACTTGAATGAAAATGATTTTATTCATCGGGCATTTATTGGATTGTTTGGTATGCTGTACTTTAGGGGGTCTCTCATGCCAGCCGACCTGAAGAGATGCAGCACATGGCCAGTCTAGCTTCATCCGGTGGGGTAGGCAGCCACCCTAATCTGACCCCCAACTTTTCCAGCATGATGGAGGAAGATGATGACTACATGGACTACACTGTTGGAGGAAGCCCACTGGGTCTCTCCTCAGAGTCCTCAAACCAAGACCGCAGTTGCACCAGCACCCCCGTGGGCAACGATAGTTCGCCAGCAGGTGAGTCAACCTCAGTAACAAGATCATCACAATCAACATTTTCAACCTCATAGGGTTAGCAATATATGAGAGGGATTGAATGAAAATACAGGCTCAATTTGGCCAATGGAGCAAATATTTAGAGATTTATTTGTCAATCAGAGCATATTTTCTTGTATTTCTGGTGTTGGCCTTTTGTCCCTCCCTAAGAAGAAAAATGTAAAAAACCTGCACCCACTCTCACTGTATTCCTTGTAGCTGACTCATAAAGCTACTAATTGTTTTCCACCGTAATGACATTTATTAAATTATAAAGCACTAAATTTGTTATATAGTCCTCCACACACAGCTCAGATTGATGCCATCCCCGTGGCGACTACATAAGAGAGGCATCCCAGACTTTTCTCATCTCTACTGTCATTTAAATCACCCTCACACTGAGATAGCAGAAGTTATTGACCATTTTCCTCTGGGCTTAAAGGTGCCTAAAGTGATTTTTTGTTTTGGAATATGACACATAAAATGTACAAATGTCACTATAATGGGTGTCCTGGGAACTCTGTGACAACCCTAGTCACTATAAACAGCAAGAAATAATCTGTGTGCAGCCTGCACTTTTTTAGCCAATCAGATAATTTAAAGGCCTGTCAGTCATTGTCTGTGGAGAGTTGGGTTTTGGAGAGAGCTTGTGTGATTGAAGGGGTGGGCGATGGGTCTAATTCACTGGTGTAAGTTAGGAAACTGGCTAACAATGCTACAGCACCTTTACTGTAAATCTGGGCCTTTGCTCTTTGAATCTGAGCTTTCCTTCACTGAACTGATTTTTATAGTTTCACTGTTGGATTTCAAATGTTATCTTCCATTCTCATCACTGTTGCTTTTGGCAGTTGTCTGACTTTTGTTACCATTTGGTTTTCATTATTTCATTACTTGATCTCTTTCCCTTTTTACCTCCCCACCCTTTTGTCTTGTACCTTCCTGTCTCTGTTACCATCCTTCCTCGGCACCATGTCTCTGTAGGACCAGGCTGTCATTTCCTTGCCACCACTACCTATGCTGACTCTCCTCCTTCTTCTCAATCTGCACCTCCTCCTCCTCCACCACCACCTCCTCTTCCACCTCCTCATCAGTCTGCGCTCCAGAGTCAGCCTCCATCTCTCTCCTCAGCTCTTCTCCGGCCGCCACTCCCCTCGCTCCCATATCTCCTTTCCCCATCCTGTCTGTCATACTCTCTGCTCAGCGCCTCTCTCGGAGCCACTAGGAGTGTTGTCATGCCAACCAACACACCAGCTTTCAGCCCCATCATTCCTACTTCGTCTTCGGTTAAAAATGACGTCCCAATAGTGCAGGACGCTGCAGGTACCTATCCTTTCTCCACCCGAACACTGCAGCTCTAGAGTAAAAGTAGTTTGAACTAGGGCTAGCAGTTACAAAACATTAGCTGGTTACAACTCTTTAGCATTTTACACATGCAGTGCAGTTCATACAAGCCACTCTGGTGGTGGTTTTATTCTTGTGTAGTACATTGCACACCTGCCATTAGGTTCACTGTCTAAAATGCCGTCCATTAGTAGCCTGCTGTAAAGGGCTGGTTTAATCATGCCAGGCTTTAATAGAGCCATGTGATTCCTGCTGGCCAGGACAGGGAGCACATCATCTGCACTGACCTCAGGCTTATGGGAGGGAATCCTGCTCTCCCATAAAGCCAGATGTACGGAAGCACCTTTGAACTCTCCCAATACCTAGACGTGGCAATCACGTTAAAATGTCACCAGTACATTATACAAATGGGACTGTCTTTGTTTGAATATGGCATGGAATCACATTGTATATTATATTGCTGTAGGAGGAACCTTTGTAGGTAGCTTTGATAGGCCGCATGTGGCTACTCCTGCTTGCAGAATTGCTTTGCTGCTCATTGTAAAGAGTGAAGTCTAACCCGTATATGCCTTTTTTGCAAACAGGTAACACCATCTCTATTCCCACGGCAACTGGCGCCAAGAAACGTTTCTGGATCATCGAGGACATGTCACCCTTCGGCAAGCGCCGCAAGACTGCTTCCTCTCGCAAGATGCTAGATGAAGGCATGATGCTGGAAGGGTTCCGCCGCTATGACCTCTATGAGGACTGCAAGGATACGACCTGTCAGTTCTCCCTGAAGGTAACCCACTATCACTGCACACGGGAGAACTGCGGCTACAAGTTCTGCGGCCGCACCCACATGTACAAGCACGCCCAGCACCACGACCGCGTGGACAACCTGGTCCTGAATGACTTCAAGCGCTTCAAGTCTTCATTGTGCTGCAACTTCCCTGACTGCCAGTTCTCCGGCAACAGCACCCACTTCCACTGTCTGCGCTGTGGCTTCCGCTGCACAGACAGCACCAAGGTGACGGCGCACCGCAAGCACCACGGCAAGCAGGACGTGATCAGCGCTGCCGGATTCTGTCAGTTCAGCTCCAGCGTGGACTGCGAGGTGGCAGACTGCAAGTACAAGCTCAAGTGTTCACATTTCCACTGCACTTACCCAGAGTGCAAGCACACGGTGGTGGGCATGTCACAGATGGATTCCCATAAGCGCAAGCATGAGAAGCAGGAGAGGGGAGAGCTGCCTTCAGTCTCCCCCAACCAGGATGGCAACCACCACCACCACCACCACCATGCAGGCCTAACCGTACCCCCAATGCCTAGGAATATGCCCCCAACATTATCCGGCACACCGGGGCTGACCCACAACAATATGGCCATATACCTCCCTTCGGCAGGGGCCGCCAGTGAGTACGAGCATCCGGGCTCAGCAGTCAACCTCGACAGCTCTCTGAACCTTGGGACGGACACCAACAGCTCCTTGTTTTTCCTGAAAAATGCTGCTGGGTTGGGCCTCAGTGACTCCTTGGACCTGAGCAAAAAGATGCACCGGGAGCCCCAGTCCCTGGCCACTAGTTCTGGCACTGCTGCTTCAATGGGCCTGAGCAACCCTCAGGACGACAATACCGGCACATCTGGCGATCTCGAAGACGACCTATCACCCGAGGAAGAGCCGATTGCTGAGGAGGATGATGATGAAGAAGATGATGAAGAGGAAGACATGAATACAGACTCATATGAAGATTCCATGCCAGAGCCAGAAGTAGACAAAGACAATGGAGAGAGTTTTGATGCTTCCATGAACCACACCGAGACTTCCCAACTAGATAAAGAGGAGCCGGAGGCTGAGCCCTAATCTATGCTGTAGAAGGAGAACTATGAATTCCCTGAACAAACGCAAGTTTGAGTGGCCTCATTTATCATGCTTAGAGACGCAGCAGATGACAAGAAAACAACCAACTACAAGAAAAGTGAAGGCCCAAAATGATTTATTATGATGTTTACACGATGACCAACATTATTAATTTAATTATGCATTAAAAAATGAACCGAGAAATAGACAGACGAGGCCCTCTTTTACACATGGGTGGCTATGTAAACCTTTTCCTACACATCAGTCTTTTGTGTGTGTGCATGTTTGACTTTAATTTATTTGATTTCATTTGTTACTTTTTGTGTGTGGAAAAAAAGGAAAAAACAATCTCTCTATAGATGACTATCTATATAAAGTAGATGTGTGTGGATGTTAATGTATGTTTTAATTGCAGTCACTGGATTGCAGGACCCTCGTACCCACCCGAAAGCGACGAAAAGCGTACATTGCAGGAAATCTTTTATAAAGAATGTTGCTCAGATAATTGATTCAGAAACACCTTGTGTCATTATTATTATTATTAATAATATTATTGGAGTGCAGGGGCCTGCATCAGTGCTTTGACTTGTATGCTTCTCCGTTGATCAGTTGTTTATTATTATTATTATATTATTATTATTTAGAGTTCTCACAGTTCTCACTTAAACCTGCTGTCATGGTCAGTGGTGTCATAGGCTCCATTCCATGTGGATATTCGCCTGCATCTTCAGGACAAACAAACAGTGACCAGTGACTGCATAGCTTCCGGCCATAAAGCATTGATCTCAGTGAACGCTAGCCCTCACTTGATTTCTCTTCCTTCTCCTTTTCTCAGTGAGGACCCATTTGGCATTGCATATTCATAGTGCACTTTTGTATAGATGAGAGCTGATACTCAAGCCTCTATTTAAGACGTTTTGTTATCTTTTACATTGATTGCATTACTATGGCTTTTTGTTTGTTTGTTTGTTTTTGCATTATTCTCTAATTGCACAGGCATGAGCAGATGATGTGGTGGTGTCTCACCGTAAATGGGTCTGTTTCAATGGCGAGAGTATTCGCCCCCTTTGTTTCGGAGAGTTTGTAATGTGATGATGGTGCTACTGCCCAGTATGAATGGGAGGAGATTACAGTTATGTCTTTGTTTTGATCCACAAATAGATGTCCTAAAGTGTCCATCAAACACAGAGCAGGAGACAATGTCTCTGAATGTAGGGAAAAAATGTTTGTAGGTGTTATTCTTCTTTCCTTTTCCCTTCACAGTTTCTGTAGCATGGAAAAAAACAATAGTGGCAACAAAGTCTGAGGATGGAGACTGTTTTTTTCAAGCTTCTTTTTTCAGAAGCATCAAATACCTGTTTCTAAAAGAAGAGGAAACAAGGAGAGACCTTTTTTCTAGAGGGCTGAATGGAGGACAGGCATCACATGATGGAAAGTGTGTGATTTTATGAATTGTACAGACAGAAAACATTGTTTCAAGCTTTTGTTTTCTTTATACAACAGCTGTGGTTTCACTCCAATAATAATAAGAAGTTATTTAATATTTATGTGACCTTGCAATGAGGAAATTCTAGGGTGTTTTTTGCACTTTTTAGGTTCATTTTTACCTTTTGAAATTATGGCATACATCTTTTAACAGGGAATTTGCTTTACAGTGTGGTTTAGCTCACTTTGCTTTGATGCACAAATAGTCTTCAGTGTGACGAAGAACTGTTGCTCTGTGTTTTATTTAAGAAAAAAAAAAGTTTTTTTCTTTGCTTCCGAGATTGGATGATTTCAATATGAAACGGGCATGCTAGAACCTGGCTTGCCTAACGAGTAACACTAATGGTGACTGTAATTTAAATGAATTCTATACAGAGGAAATTATTGCAGTGCTTCGCTCTGAATTAAAAAAAAAAAAAAAAAGATTTTTGTTTGTTTGGTCTCCATTGAATATAAACAAGGAAAAGCAAGGTGAGGAAATGATGAATTATTTCCTAAACACGGCTTTGAACGAACTCATAATTTAGGGAACTAAATGTGTAGATGGTTATCTTCGACAATGTTGTTTTGGGAGGGAAAAAAAAGGTTGTATAGTATTTTCTTCTGTAAAAACTATATATGAACAAAAATGCTCTTTGATTAAAAGCTTCCTTTAAAAAGAAAATTAAAAAGAAGAAATAAAGAATAAAAAGTTAAAAACGGACCTAACACCAGTATAGTTTGCTTGTATGTGTGTGAGTGCGACAGTATGCAAGTGTGTGTGAGGTTTTATTGTTATTACCATGATTTCCCCATAGTGGTAGAGGAATTAGTGGTAATTAAATCTATACGAGTCACATTATTGTAGCACTGAACATTGGAGTGTATTTCTACCTTTTACGCAACAAAGTCATCATTTTCAAAGCTGTATATCATGTGCGATCACAATAGCAATGATACCTGCATAATTTAATACCATCCACAACTCTTTGCAGTATGCAAGTGTGTGTGAGGTTTTATTGTTATTACCATGATTTCCCCATAGTGGTAGAGGAATTAGTGGTAATTAAATCTATACGAGTCACATTATTGTAGCACTGAACATTGGAGTGTATTTCTACCTTTTACGCAACAAAGTCATAATTTTCAAAGCTGTATATCATGTGCGATCACAATAACAATGATACCTGCATAATTTAATACCATCCACAACTCTTTGCTATTGTTTTGGTGTTTGTTTTATTTAATTGAACTTATGTATTTTGCATATGGCATGCCCCTCTCACAGGCCGTTTGTTCGCTGGTCTGAAGTGCAAAAGCGCAGGACTCACTGAAGCAGCTGTTTGCCTGGGAGATACTGTGCACTTGAATACATTTTATGCGTGTAAAATAGCAGGATTTGTAAAGAGTCAAAATAAAGAAATTCTAATTATTATAACAATGCAAATGTTCCACACAGTGTTTCTCAATATCATCTATATCTGTATTTTCTCTATGCTGTAGGTAACGAGAGTGCGGTTAATAAGCCCCCCTCCCGCTGAGACTAACACTGTTAAAGGGCACAAGACCCCGGGTCTGTGGCACAACACAGAGGACGCCCAGCAGCGCCGCTCTGACTGAGGAAGACATTTTAACATCCTTGTTACTTTTCTCTATAGACCAAGAATTTCATACAATAAATTCAATACGTGTGTGCAAACAATAGCTCATAAAAATCTGACTTTGACATAGTCATGGAGCCATATTTAGGGTACAAATGCTCTCTGGTGCATATTTCGGGAAAGTTTCTAGCACTCTAAAATGGTGTTTGTTTTTCATTCTTTTCTTTCATTGTGAAGGCTGCTCGTCGCTTTGACCAGCTTATACCGTCCTGTCCCACTCGCTGCAGCTGTTCTCTTGCCTCACCCTCCTCTTCCTTCTGATGTGTCTTTAAATAAAAAACGTGTAAAGCCACCACCATCTGTCTGCCAGCTGGCATCCTGCATATAATCTTGAAAAAAAAAAAAAAGCCAACTATGGAAATTATATTACACAAAAACCAGACGGAAGCAACCTCCAAACTAGCACAGGCTGCTGTTGAAACAACAGATCACCTTATTGTCTAAATTATAAGGGAGGGAAAAAAAGAAAAAAAGATTCCTGATTTTGTTGTATAAATTATAAATTATGTAAATTATGTTGCAAACAAGATTTGAACACTTAAACCACAATTAAATATGCAAGAATTAGTTTATATAAGAAAGTCAAATGACAAATCAAGTATACATTTATTTCAAAGTGAGCACAAGCATGCTTTTTATGCAAAACAGAGCAAAACCAAAAATTTTAAATTATAAATGTAATTATTTATAAAAATGTGTGTGTATAGAGAGTTTATACTAAATGTTTATCATTTGTATGGGTGTGTATTATAAATTATAAATAAAATAATTGTATGTAATTAAATATATTGTCAAATGTGTTTCTGAAAAAAAAAAAAATCTAGCATTATTTGTTTGCACTTGATTTGCAATGAAATTCATACATTTGTATTTTACACACGTTCAAAAACTTTGTGGGACCACCATATGCGGAATTAAAATAATTGATTTCTTATATTTAGCTTATTTTTGACAGATTTCACATGAAACAGAGACACACCACTGCAAGAACGTCTCATCTCTATAGGCTTTTTTTGTTGTTCATTCCCATCATAATGAGTCGTGTGTGTGCAGTCATACCGGGGCCGGATCTGACTCGTACTGAGGGTTGATGTTCCAGGAACAGGTTGTGTGAGACGCCGCAGCAACGCATGAGGAACAATGGGCCCCAGAAACATGCGACAGGTGTTCTGTACATATGTCACAGCAGCGGTGGTCACACATCATACACAACCCATTAGGATGCACAAGAATCAACCATAATATTTCAAGCAATCGAGTTCACAGGAAAGCCGTGTGTACATTTTGCTTCTTATTGGATTGTTTAATTGCATTACACCCACAAACACATTACAACAACTGTGCATTTCTGACAATTCAGAAGTGTACAGTTGTTTAGTTACAAATCACATTTCATATGCTTGTCATAAACATTGAAAGAATCATTCCATTTGCCCATATAATTGCAGCATTGTTCTGTTTTTAGTTGTGTCTGTAATTCTCATCCATTTCCTCGTTACCTTTGGCATTCATATTCATTTAGCTATTTCCACTCACGCATGGCTTTATTTAAAGAGACCTTTGGTCAGAGTTTAAAAAAGGTTTCATAAGGAAGCTGCCATGCCACTGGTAGCAGCTGCTGCTTGTGTGAAAAATGAAGTTCAGGGACCCCAAAGGAAAAAGAGAATTAGACACACATTCAGCCAATTTAACTTTAACAAGACCTTATTGGCGGTAATGTCACAGGCCCGCTATGTACAAATGCTATTCTCTGTATTCATGTCTACTGAAATGAGGAGAAATGCTCAATTATGTTCTGGATCAGGGGAGATTTCAGCATAAATATGACTTTAAATGTGTGTAGTCAGACAAAACCAGCTCATTCAATAAACAGTATTTCTGATTTTTCATATCGGTGTAACAGAAAAGCAAATCCAAAGCTCAGAAGGATTTAATATCCTCTTATTTGAACATTAACTAAAGACACACCTGTCGAAATCACACAAGTTTTTACTTGAAGCTGCACAGCTGCACATAAACAAGTGGAGAAAGATACATGTGTACATAAACTCACTGTGCCAAATTTCCAAAGTAACAATCTTTTAATAGCAATTTTGTACAAGTGATAACAGGTTCTTTCTCTGTGGGTTAGTCAGCCATTTTCTTATGAGTAAAAGTAACTTTACCAAGCGTGATTTAAAATAATTTCAAACCCAAATATCATTAGATATTAGACAAAAAAAAGGCAATTCGTAATACAAAGACACAAAATGCCCTTGTTATAGGTAAAGTACATGTTTTTTTTTTAAATAATAATTTTAAACAATTATAAAATAAATAAAAGCCCAGTAAGAATCTGCAAAAATCGTATTTATATAAAGTTTTAGCAACATTTTACAATAAGGTTCCATTAGCCAATAAAAGTTAATGTAATAACTAACATTAACAAACAATGAGCAATACATTTGTTGCAGTATTTATTAATCTTTGTTAACTTTAGTTAACAAAAATAGGGAACACTTTATTTGACGGTGTCCTTGTTACACATATTACATGTACTTACTACAGTAATAACAATAAATGAAGCATAATTACATGCAACTAATCCTAAACCCTCATCCTAACCATATAGTAAGTACATGTAATTAATATTACTCAGTACTAAATTGTATAATTACATTGTAACAAGAGCACAGTCAAATAAAGTACAACCTAAAAATACAACTGTTCATTGTTGGTTCATGTTTGCTCAGGTCCAATAAAATAATATTAACAGATACAACATTTGATCTTAATAATGTTAATGTAAATAATCTTAATAATTGTTAAAAAAAATAGAATCTTATTGTAAAGTGTTACCAAAATTACTTTATATTTTCTATTGCAACACTCTCACTGGTGAGAGGAGGGGTTTGTTTGTAAACAGTTTGTTTGTAATTTGATATATACATTTATATATGTATTTGATATATATACAATGTCAGGTCGAAACAACTTAATATTCATGAGCTGAGACGGGCAGGCCGTGACATCACCACCAGCCAGACTCTGACCGGCCTTTACACTTCAAAGCCTTTCTCGGCGCCGCTGGCTGAAAGTAGGCTCTATCAAATTAACTAAACAATTTAATAATGCAGGCATGTGTAATACTTTGTGGAGGCGGCATTTCCGTATGGCAGTCGCCATACCCCGGTTGTTCGTCGCCATACCTTACACAATCGTCGTTGGACCGAGATTCATACCACTGCCATTCCCTATGGTTCTGTGAAACGCCGCCACTGGGCTGGGCGCTCTCATTTCACATATATTTGTAGTCTTTCAGCCGTGCGCACACCGATTCTGTGCAGGCCTGATTATGGTGCGTTCTCTAATCATCGCGAGGATTAATCATCATAGGATTGAAAATATGTGGAAATGATGAAATAAAACTGTTTTGGCAGACTTTGGCTGGGAGCTGTTAGATTACAAGCAGTTTGCTTGGGGAGTTCTGTTTCAGCTCTTTACGACTCCTTCCAGAAAGAGAGTATTGGGAGCAACAAGGCATTACTCTCTCACACACATGCACACGCGCACGCCAGCAAGGGCCATTTACTTACCAACTAAGGAGATCCTTAAGTGCTAAGCTGTAAATTTGGTTAAT